TAATAAATCGCTGGGTGTACATAAAGCATCCCCTGCACCCCCTTCCTGCCTCCTTCTCCCATGGGGCTTAGGATAAACCCATCCTGCCTGATCTCTGTGCTCCCCAGGGACTCTACTTTTAGGGTGGCCAATATTTGGCCTTTCCCCCGCTTTTTTGTCCTCCTTTCCCCCCTTCAAATCCTTATTTTCAGCCCCCCAAACTAGGAGCCAGGGCAAGAAGGGTTGAACCGAGCAGAACAGCTTTTCATTTCAATTAAAAGTGCTTTTTCTCTCCCCTTTCCCTCTCTCTGCACACGCGGGCACGCACCGGTGTCCCTTGATCACAAAAGCAGGTTGCAACTCCTGACGTGGAGAAGAAAATCGAGGAATACAAACGGGAAAACCCCGGGATGTTTAGCTGGGAGATCCGAGACAGGCTCCTAAAGGATGGGCACTGCGACCGGAGCACTGTGCCCTCAGGTGAGAAGGCAGCTTGGCAAGAAAGACACCCCGATTCCCATAGGAAGATGGAGGGAAATTAGGATTGTCACCACAAAATGCTTCCAGGGGCTATAAACATCTTCTCGGCCTTTGCTTTGACAGGGGAGAGGGGAAAATAAATCACTCCAAGCAAAGCCACAGCAGCAAATAAACATCAGGGGGGTTGTGCCCCGACCACGCTGCGGTCTGCTGGGAAAACAAACATAAACACAACGGTTTTCCCAACTTATCCCAACTCCTGTGAAAGCAGAGAGGGATGTCCCGGATGTGGAGGGAGCCTGCCTGGAAGCAGCCCCCAAATCCAGGGTTAGAGGGACCCTGGTTGTCCTGTTGGGACCTGCTTGCTCAGTGGGGGCTGCAGAGCAGCGTCTCCATCAGCCAGGGAACGCCATCGCCCATGGAGAGCGACCTTGTACCCCAGTATCGGGCCTGCAGGGATGTGCTTGGGGTCTTATGAGCTCTTTAGGTCCTGACTGTGAGCTCCCCTCTATTTTTGGGGGGTGAGCCTGCCCCATAGGACACATCTCCCCCAAAGCAAGACAGGGCCCAGGTCTGAACCCAGCTTTTGGGCTCCTATTTGGGGCTGGGGTGGAAGCTGTGTACTGGGGGGCTTTTTTGCTGTCAGAAGGCAGGTTGTACCCCGGGGGTGCACACCTTGGGGTGTTGCACTGGCTGTGATGCTCCAGGGAGTGTTGTGCACAACCGGGTGCTGCTCATGCCGGGTGTCTCGGGGGGATGGTGATGAGCACATCCAACTTTGGGTGTCCACCTTGGCAGCTCGGTGACCTCAGGAGTGTTTTGGAGGGCACGGAGGACCAAGCAGGTGTGTACCCCTGAGAAAATGGGGTGTGGATGCCCTTCGTGTGTGCACAAGGCCTCCTGCCCAAGTCCTGCAGCCCCAGCTTGGGTGTTCCCAGCCAGCTCCCACCTCGCCTTCCCAGGCAGCTTATACTTGCCTTTTTGTCTTTGACTGTCTGAGGTTTAGTGAGTTCGATTAGCCGTGTGCTACGCATCAAATTCGGGAAGAAAGAGGAAGACGAGGACTGCGACAAGAAGGAGGAAGACGGGGAGAAGAAGGCCAAGCACAGCATAGACGGCATCCTGGGCGACAAAGGTAAAGGCGGCCGCACGTGTGCCGGGGCTTGGCTGGAGGGGACGTTGAGGAGAGGGGACATGTGTGCGTGTGTGTCCCCCCGTCAAGAGTAAGACGGGATGGATCCAGAGTCTCTTCTGTTTGTCCTCTCTGCAAGCGGAGTCGAGGGTGCAACGCAGGGCCCTGGGAGGGGATGTGGTACCCAGCCCCTCAGGCTGTGGATGCTTCCCCAGGAGGAAGAGTTGGTGGTGGTTTGCTCTGTATTAATTATATATAAGAAGGGAAAGGAGATGGCTGGGGGGGGTGGGAGGCATCTCTGGTTCCTAAATGAATTTGTTAAACAGATTTCTCTCCTGCTCTCTAAGTGGTCCCCTGAAACTCCAACTGACAGTTGACCGATTTGGCCAATCAATATCAATTAGAGGAGCTGGGATCGGCGCTGCCGCAGAGCCGCCGGCGCTGGGGAAGCGCGATGGGGAGATGGGGAA